GGCATCGCTTCGTCTTGTCCTTTGTCTTGTCTTTGTCTCGTCTCAATCTCGTCTCCCTCGTTTCAACCTGAAGACTATCTTCACCCGCTGAAGGGACTGGAGAATGCAAGGAGAATGGGGCAAAAAGCAGGAAAACCAAAATTCGACGAAGACTCCGAGTCACCATCTCCCGTACCTATCGTGCATCCTGCGCTGCATCTGGATACCCTCTCTAAGCTTTCCTCAACCATTCGACCCAGTATTGAATCTTGATTCTCCGTTCTCTGGTCCGCACCGAGATTTGTTACAGGAAGTGGCGCTCGCCGCAGCCAGTGGATCTCGTCCGGCTCTGGTGATCATATTCTCATAGGCAAAGACCCACCCGCTGCGAACAGCCTTCTTCCTGTGGTCCACACTACTCTCGACCCTGCGCGGGTTCCGGAGAAGCACTGGCACGACGCCAACTCAAATGCCGACGCCACTGCTCTCGGAATGGCGTTCAGTCTCATCAACATCATTCCTACATCTCTTAAATTACCCGTTGCGATGCTCGAGGCGCTATGGCCACGGATATGGCTGTGGGTTAAACTGATCGAGGAATACAGGGAATATCATGCCCTTGTTCAAGGCTATGCGGGAAGGACCGTTTTTGCTATGCTTCGGTTATTTCTATCGCTGTTGCTATCAATATTCCATGAAGTCGAACCACTGAAACCTGTGGTGCACTCGACACCGGGGACTCACGCCTTTGTCTCCCGGAATTTTCAACTTTCAGGTTGGGAGCATGTTTCTGAGAATGAGGTTCAACCAATCTTGGATCCATCTCGTCGACATGAGGTTCTCTTACAATTTAAAGGTTTATTTTGCAACCAGGATGGTCTGGCAATTACCTCGACATACCCTCGCAATGAGACTCGACAGGCTGCGGTGAAAGCGGATATCCTAACAAAATTGCGAAATTGCAACCTCTGGGCCGTCGGGGTCAAAACTTTTTCCTTCGTAGTCTTCTCTGAGCCACTGGCATATACTCGCTTGATGTCCGAAAGGGGCCAGACGCCACGATCCTGTCGTGGAAGGGAGCCGCTCGGTCATCGTATCATCCAGCCTCTGCCTCGAATGAGTCGGAATGACAAGTAAAAAAGCTCATCGCAGCAAAAAAACCTGCCATCAACCAAGAGCTGAGAAAGAGGTTAGGTAATTTAGCTTATCGGGATATCGATTTGACCCTGTCGCAGAGGTAAAAAGAGCCGGCTAGAATTCTATGGGCGTTGGCTGTCGGCGTCAATTATCCATGGTTCCAATGACGAAACAGCCCACGTACAACCTGGGACCTGTTGGAGACAACAGTTAGCCTGAGGAGCCCCAAGGTCTTCTGCCCTTTTATCCTTCGAGCCCTCAACAGAAGGAAAAGTTTTGAAGACCCAAGAAGACCCATAGCGCTGGCACGCATCTGCAATGGATGAGCCTTTTCGGAAGTCAGATTCGGGCAGGCGCCGGTTCGATTCCGGGGTGGGTGTGATCGCTCCAAAACCGTTTTTTTCTTCTCTAATTTCTCCTCCTCTAAATCCTAGCTGAATTGAAGTCCTTGGTCCAGGTCTTTTCCAGTCATAACGAGATCAACGACTATAGCGCTGGCGCGCACCTGTGTTCAATATCTTGTATTCCTTGATTAACGCAGGCGGCGGTTCGATTCCGGGTTGGGTCATAATTTATCTGTATGAGTTGCTTTTGGATGCTCGACACTCTATCATTGCAAGGAAATACAACTGCAAATTTCACTCGTTCACAACAGTCCAAGACCTCGTTCAACGTCGTCTAGATAGATAGTGGTTGAACTTGCATAGGCACTTGCTTCAAGACCCACGGCGCTGGTGCGCACCTGCGTGTGATTACATAGTCAAGACCAATTTGTTGCCTGGCAGACTCCGGTTCGATTCCGGTATTACGCATAAAACCTTGCGTGTGTTGAAGTTGCGTATCCGAGAGCACCGCAGTGAAACTTCCCTTTTCAACCACAGTCGGCGCCAGCGTTATCCGGAAGCACCAATCAGACGAAAGATATTTACCAACAGACGAAACGCAGACGTGGTGAAAGCTGTCGAGATACGCATCCTGGCAGCGGACTTGAACTGTCAAGGACTGCCACCAACTGACAGATCGGACGGTTTCATTGGGATAAAAATCACCGTTTTCGTCTGGGACTCTAGTTCGATTGCTTTTTTTAAAGCAAATATGAAAGAACTGCTACAACTGAGGATGCGGAATATTCCGTCCCAATATGAGTAGGCGACTGGAAGAGGACTTTGGGCGGCACCAGATCAGTCAACAATCACGCATCGGTGATGCCAACTTTTCGGCAAGTGACGTGACACCCTCCTTGTCCAAAAAAACCACCACGGGCTAACCGCTCCTTGCTAGATGGGGCGTCTGCGTCTATGGCTGCCCCGAGGTTGCCAGCTCCCCCGACTCGCCGCGCTCACCCTGCTCGCCCTCGTCTTCCTCTCCACCTACACCATCCTCGGCACCCACACGGCGTCGCGGCTCGTCGTGTACACGCCGCCGACCCACGCCGTGGAACTGGGCCATCCGACGTTCGAGGAGGTGCGGGAGTATGAGCGTACGCTGCCGCAGCATCGTGCGCCGTCTGTTTTCGAGAGGAGTCGCCCGAGGTGCGTTTAGTTGCGGTTCGTGTCCCTGTCCGTGCTGATTTCATCGAGTGCGTAGATATCTGTTCTTTCCCTGGGAGGCATGGGGAACCGGGTGTGTCTCCATCCTCGTTCTCGTGTCCTCTCGTATCGCTTACATCATTTTACAGCTGGAACAATGTATTCCAAGAACAGTACGCGTTTCTTTCTGCACTTATGTGTTGACCACAGCTGAGTGACAAGTGTTTTTGTTCCCAAATTCCAGGCTCCTCAACACCCACCTCGCGTACCTCGCCAACCGCGGGTACGTCTTCGTCGACTACATCGCGCGCGATCACCCGCCCTTCCCGGACGCCCTGCCCAACGGCACGCGGCACATGCTGCACATCCCCATGACCGCCTTCACCACCGGCCCCACCGGCGGCGGTTCCTGGGGCTCTAACCCTAACACCCTTCCCGTTAATCCCGCGGTCCCGCATGGCGTGTCGCAGCGCTGGTGGGAGGCCGCGTGCCCGCCCGAAAAGGTGGTGGAGGTGCAGCTGGGCGCGACGATGGAGGAGCTGAATATCACGGATGCGACGAGTGGGGCGGAGCGCCTTTTGAGGTGGGCGGAGAAGTTAAGGGAGATGCCGCAGGAGTGTGTGTCGGTGGTCGGGGGGACGTCGTTCGATTTCGTGTGCGTCTTTTCTTTCTTCTTTCTTCTTTCCACGGTTTTTTTGTCTTCGTGTCATCTTACACATTACACATCTAGGTTCATGAACCTCCCCGAAAAAGTCCTCTCTCTCTGGCCCTCGTACGGCTCCTCGCCCACACTTACCGAATTCACCTGGTCCCCGCTCATCACGCGCGCCCTGTTCCGCAATCGTGCTCTGTTCCTCTCCCCCTCTTCCTCTTCCTCTCCCTCCTCCCCATCATCTTCAAATTACAACGACGACGTCGACGATACAGCCGATACAGCACCCATCCCCATCCCCGTCGCCCTCGCGCCCCTCCTGCCCCCTTCCCGCATCACAGGGCGTTACGCTCTGTCCGCTTTCGCACCCCTCCGCATCTCCACCCCCTCCCCTTCCTTCCCGCGCCTCCTCGCCCTCCACATCCGCCGCGGCGACTTTGAGACCCATTGTGCGCTGTTGGCGGAGAGGGGGATGGGGTTCAATGCATGGGCTGGGTTGGGCGATACACATGCTAGAGGAACAGGAGGGGTTGACGGGGTAAATGGAGGACAACAGGGAGAGGGAGGAGAAGCATACCCAGCGCTCCCGGATTACCTCTCGGTGCCGCAGGGGATGTCGCGCAAGGACGCGGCGATGGGGCATTGTTGGCCGGATGTGGAGGATATCGTGGCGCGTGTGCGCTCTGTGCGCGCTGAATACCTCTCTTCATCCTCACCCGAATTGTCCTCGCAGAAACAAGCCCCGCCTCGTCGCCTCGACACGATCTACATCGCGACCAACGCCGAGCGCGCGTGGGTCGACCTCCTCGCGGAGCGGTTGAGGAAGGAGGGGTGGCGGGTGGGCAGTTCGCTTGACATGTGGACGAGCGAGGTCGACTCGCTCCACATGGGGGCGGGGTCGACGAGCGAAGAAAGGGAAAGGGAGGAGAGTACGGAAAGGGAAGAGCAGGAAGAGAGGGCGGTGGGGCAGGCGGTGGATATGGGGGTGTTGGTCGGGGCGGAGGTGTTTATTGGGCAGGGGGTGAGTACGAGTTTGATTTTATTCGTTTTATTCGTTTTACTCCGTCCTCTCTTCTTTCCTTTCCTTTTGTTCAACCCTTATTTCCACCTCTCTCTCATTCATTCCGTTTTCGCGACTCCAACGCAAACAAAACTGACCCCTTCGCATTACGTTCTAGTTCTCCAGCCTCACGTCGAACGTGGTACAGCTCCGCCTCGCGGGCGGGCGGGCGCCGGGTACGATAAGGTTTTGGTAGGCGTGCTCATCACGTGGGTCGAGGGACGAGTATATATATTACGCGTTGGGTAAGGAGGAGGGACGAGACGGAGGGAAGTGCGAGGAGAGGGTAGAGAGGGGATAGAGGTTCAGTATCAGCTGATTAGTAATTTCTGTTGGGTCTTGGCTATAGAACGTATTGGTTGGCTTGGGGGTTGTATTTATTCAGTACTAGTAGCTGGGTTTTGAACTTTCCTGGGTCGAAATCCCCAGATATACGTACTACTCCAACTTGGAGGGTCCAATGGCGGGTGAAACACCTGTCATGGATCGAAGGATGGCTGCTGTCGTCCGAGAGGCAAGTTACAAGACAGATACCTTCCACAGCTATTTAGAGGAAATACTGTGTTTTGGACCGGAGGTGAGTTGGTTGTGGTGGTTGGGAAAATAGAGCGCTGTATACTCACCAGGTGGCGCCGCGTTCAAGTCCGGTATGGTGTATCGGTTAACATATGTGCTTTTCATGGAATCAACCAGGGGTCTACGCACGTGCGCGGGGTTCGACTCCCCGTACCGGAATATTTTTGCCCTTGTTCATCTTGACCTCCATCAGTACGGGAACACATCCGACGCAGTAGCTCTCCAAACGGATACAATTTTTAAATCAAAGAAAACAAGCCTATGAAATCTATGTGTAATTGACAATCTCAACCAACGGTTCACGCGCCGACCGCCAAATAGTGTGCGTTCAGCCCAAATTGCGCGCGATACGACATACCATCCTTGGTGTAGACCTCCACCAGCCGCACCTGGTCGTACGACACACCATCGATACCCACCCGCATCGCACCGTCGTGGTCCGTGAAGTCCGAATCTTTTCGGCTCTGTGGGACGTGTAAGAAATAGCGTTAAACCACAGTGACCGTGGCACGTACGTTGACGAAGTCTTTGAAAATCTGGGTGACTTGTGCGCCGAGCGCCGCGCGGGTAACGTGGCGGCGGGTCTGCGGGTCGACGAGCGTCAGGATGAAGTTTTCCTGGCGGTAGCCGGGCCACTGAAACGGAATAAGTCGATAGGAAAAGAGCAAAGAAAGAAGCACGCACGTCTAGAAGCAGTGCGCCATTGGCATACCTCATCAACTGGGGTGGCATGAACTCGTCGAGACGCTCGGTCGGAGCAACCATCCCGCGACCGTACTCGAGATTAAGCAGCGCAACGCCGAAGGTGCAGGGTCCGTTCGTAGGCCTATACGACACGCTGTGGGGGAACTTGTCCGCCTTCCCGAGGTTGATGCACATCATGTTCTTGTTACTGTGCCAATAGTCCGGCGGACGGTTGTCGACTTGGGTGGGCGTGCGCCCGACGTGCGGCGGGGGGAACGGCGGGGGTGGCATTTGGCCGGCGCTCTGCTGCATCTGAAAGCGCAGCTGCTGGTTCACCGACATCTGGGCCATGTGGTAGCCTTGAGCGCTGAGGTGAGGCGTGTTCGGCATTTTGGAGGAGCGACGGGGAGGGAATTCCGGGGTAGGGCCGGTATATGGGAGCGCATGCGAGGGACAGTGCGCCGGAGGGCCGGAAATCTGAGGGGCACCCATGGCATAGGATGAGGTGGAGGCCGCATTCCACTGCCACATAGCAGAAATAAGCACCTTTGACTCGGTGGCAGGTAGAAATATCTCACCGTGCGTGGATCGGGTGCGAGGTAGTCTTCCACCTCGGAAGGATCGTTGAATCGGGAGGGGGCTCGGGGCATGATAGTAGGAGGAGGAGGGTAGAGGCGAGAAGGTGGGTAGAGGTGAGATGCAGTATCCGTATATTTTCGGGACTCTATATACGCAAACCAAGTGGCACATTGGGCTAGGCGTTTGATGGCTCATTGTTCCGCGCTTTGGTTTGACTTTGGTGGCCGTTTGTCGCAAACGACGGGATTGTGGCCCCGACACAAGCAAGTCCCGATTTTAGATTCAGCGGCCTGCACGTAAGCGAAGGCTTTGTGGAGAGCCGCCCTCGAAAGCCGCCATTCGAGTTCAAGGTCTTGACCAAGTCATGAGCAGCAACGAGACCATTGTCCGAAATAATTCCCATACGGAGCATCAGCTTGCATCTTCGAACCCGGGTACAATGGCGTAGCACTCCTATATCACGTTAAGCCTCCAGGTTCCGCACCGCGCTTTGAACGTTGCTTTAGCAGCGCGCCGCGCCGTCATCCAGCGGCAGCCATTCTCGACTCAGCCGCGCAAAGCAAGGAAATTCCAAGGGTCGTCAGTCCGGGAGTCGAGAATCGTTATTCGAGCCAGATAACCAGTGCTTCTGCGAGCGGATTCATGGGACAAGAGAGGAAGAAATCTGCAGTGGCTTTAGCGGGCGCAAAGCGTGGTGTGGCAGTGTCTGAGAGCACGTGACGCTTTGGCTATGTTTATGGGCGGCATCGCACTGCCGAACACCTGCTGCGCTTGACTCTCACCTCGATTTCACTGGAACGCGTCGCTGGTCCTCGCTGGCTACTGCTTGCGTATTACAGTGAAAGTTCAAGTCGCTCTGATCCTCTTGATCTTCATCCCCACCGACATCTATGACCCGAGTTTTTGTGCGCCTTCTTTTGGCCTCCTGGAGTCCTCGACTCCTTTGGCAGCTTCTTGGTTTTCACTGTCTCGGAAATCAACACGGAGTGCTATTCGCTCAGTCTGTTCTTTATTTCCACTGATCCGCAGCCCTCATCTTGCTCGTCCGGCGTTTATCTTTGAACGAACGTCGATGAACATCCGTTACACTTGATTTTTTCTCGCGAGGATGTCGCTCAGCATTGCCACGATCTACGCACTGCGTCAGCTTCATACTGTACTCAAAATTCAAGCTATGAAAAGAGCTTGGGGGTTGCTAGCTCCTGACAAATACAATCTCGTCGCTTGCCTGGATGGAATCGGGATAAACCAAAAGTAAGTTATCTGGTCACCAAAATAAACAAAGTACTCAAATGAAACTGCGGCAAAAAAGGAAAGATGGGGAAAGGCACGATATCGACGTCGAGGGATGCCAAATACAGGCGAGTGCTGTTAATCGTCCCGGCAAGTGCTTGCGATATTTTGTGTGTGTTGACCTCCTCGATTTGCCTATTGTGACATGCACAGGAATATTGAAGACGAAATTGAAACGGCCAACGGCCCGCTGCCCAAAGGCAGAAAATGAAATACAACAACACAGACTTATGGCTCGACCCCGAGTCGAACGGGTGGTCCTGCGGAATACCTCCATGAGCCTGTGCAAGTGCGGTGCGACCGCTACCGAGCCTTATTCGACGATTCCAGCCTCCTTACCACCATCATCTCCAAATCGGAATACGCCGTTAACCGCCCAGATACACCCTGGCGAGCCAAAGTGCCACAGCGGTTCTGCGAGCTACACGAGCACATCCAGGAGAGATGAATGGCTGGGCACAGTCGGATTCAAAGTAGACAAAAAACTACATCCACGTTCATCGTCGAGCATCCAGCTCAGTTTAGCTCCTTGAGCTTAATTCTACCGTCCACATTCCCTCAGGCTGTATACCTCTCAATGGCGAGCACCACGGCTCTAGAGCTCTTCAACGTCGCCGTCACTGGCTCGTCCTCCTGCTCTCGACGCTGCTCGACTCGCTTAGTCAGCATTGCACTGCCATGCCGTCACACTACCGTCACTGGCATTTCAAGCATTTCCGTGGGCGCAATTCAAGGACTCGCTCATCGTACTTATCTCGGCTTCTCTGGCAACTATTGTCCATATTGAGTGTGTGCATATCTTGAGAGCTGAAACCCGCGACATGAATAGTCAAAATGATACTGTCGACACAGTCGCGTTATATGAACGTTGTCCGGATCATCGCATCGCGCCAGCGCCTGCCAGCAGTATCCCAGGAGACCACAGTCCAAGCTGAAATGGGTTGCCACATGATACGACAGCGCGACACGTCGAAATAATCCTATGAATGTTGTCCACATAAATGGACGACAACGACAATCTATTGTCAATACTCAGGCACTGGAGGCTTGCTATTGCGGAGGGTAACGGAAGCTATAAACGCTCAGGCAGATCGTGCTTCAACTGAAGCTCTTTCATCGGCCACAAGCTGACGCCCATAACCGACTCCACAATTCTTCCCTCCACCACCGGAAGATGATATAATCCCTCTTCGAGTTTCACACCTCCTAGTTGTCTTAAACAGTGTCAGCCTCAGTAAAAGACTACTGAGATCGGTCTCAATCGGTCTAAACGAGTCAAAAGTTCTGGATACACTAAGACTTCACTTCATTCCCCTTCTCCATCGTGGTTCCGGCGGACAGTACCTCACCTATGAGTGTCCACAACCCAGAGCGGAGCGGAATGATCTAGGAAGAACTCGGATGACAAGCTCTCCTTACATCATGGACGGCTTAAGTCTCTGCAGGACAGTTCACTGACACAAACCCTTCAAAAATTCGGCTGCCAAACAAATGGTGAACACGGGGACGCAACCATGCCTGCTCCCGTCTCATGCCGTCGAAGCTGTATGTCAGATGAATGTCCTACATGGTCCCAAGTTGTTCCTGTCTTGAGTTTGTTTCGAGGTGATCATTTTCTACTAATTGCTTCTCTGTGGATCGTTTAGTTCTACCGCGGCGAGTCGATTGATTGCGACCGTGAGCTCGGCTACGTGGTGACAGAGGAGTCCAGGGACCGTAGTGTACAATTGTGCCTGTACACTCAGATACTTCCTGGGCCCCGGCGTTCCTAAGCGGGACCGTGCCGTGTAATCCTACCTACCTACCTACCTACCTAATCAATACGGCACGTTGTGGTGGGTAGCCTGGTCCGGCCAAGGATATTTGTCGAATTGAAGGTGCTTCGAGATTGTGCACAGTGCACCGGACTTATCCCTTTCACAGGCGCAGTGTGCAACAATTCATGGGAAGAATGAATACTACCGCTTGGTCAAAAGAGGGCCAGCACTCACGAGGACGAATCGTTTGACGCCGCTACCTATAGCGGAGGCGATGAAGGCCCTCATCGGAGGGAGCATATCGCGGATCCGTGGAGCAATGAGCTAACGCGGTCGATGGTGGCGTCCATGTCGAATGGAATGCCGTACGTCGATGCATCCAACCAGTCAAATCGCGGGCCTCTGAACGGCAGTGGGGGCTTGCCGCTGCGAGGCGCCAACAAGACGGCTTTATTCGCCTTCAGCAAGAGATTGGGGAGCGGCTTGCCGGATTGCACCGGTAAGCAGGATGTTCATGGCGAGCGATTGATTGGTGCTTTATCATGCAGCTCAGCGGACCTTTTTAACACCGACCAGCGCCTCCGGGCGGGGCGGCCTTGCAGTTCTCGCACTCCGTTTGGCTTGCACCTGCGGAATTCCGTCGCTGATCCGGCGAGTTGTACGCAACACTTCGGGTTTTTGTGTCTTTGCCCATGGATGGATGGTAGCGGGAGCTTTGAGTCCGCAGGCTCTGCAGGTTCCAATCTTACGCACAACTCATACACTGTTTATTTATTTCAGCGGCAGGTCTCTTTCGCCGACGGGCTCAGACTTTTATGGTGAAACGCGCACCAGCCAATAGCTGGT